TTTGTGTGATTTAATTTAATTTAATTAATTTAAGATAAACTCCATGATTTCGGTCAGAAAAGAAATGGTCTAAAAGTTGATGGTGGCTGTGGAACCACAAGCAGAGAATCAGGCAAAAGAGCATATGTGGAGGGAAGAAACTGAAGAAATGCTGACAGAAAAGAAATTATGATAATGACTAAATCAAGTAGGAGTATTTGCTCTGTATTTCACTGGGATAGGCGAAGGAAGGAAGAAGGATTTGGCTGCATTTAATTGGTATTAGTGAATGCTATAAGCTGAGTCAGTTCTCTTCCTTCCACCAAGTCCTCTTCAAATTCCTCCTAAGAAAACATGCTTAGCTTTTTGTTTACAAGGGGAATGCAATAGATGCCTTCTTGATCAATGAAGAACAATAACTTATCTGTTGCCATTTATTGCTAGAGAAAGCTATGGTACAAGAGGAAGTGGCCTGAATTTTAAAAAAATCATTTTAAAGATAGTAGTACAATAGCATTTCTTACAGAATTTGTGCTTAGTCAAACATATATGAAAAATCAAATCTTTTACAAACCTGTAGTTATATAAAATGTTGTACTGAACAGGCCCTCAAGTAATAATTTCATGGTTTGTAAAATATTTCTATTTTTATCTTTAAGAGTTTAATTGAGTTTATCTTTGAATTTTTACACAAATAATCCAAAGAACAACATTTGCCTTTCATCTGTTTGTCTCATCACCTAAAAACAGAATATTTTCAAACTTACATTTTGGTCACATCTATCTATACCAAATTTCAAATACTTGTAGACATATTTTCTTACTGCTGTTAAGTATGTGTCAGGATTTGTCTTATAACTCATAAAATATTGAGGGAAAAAACTTCAATTTTTCTCCCCCCATTTACTAATTTGGAAAAGTTATTGTGTTTGTTGAATTGATGACATGGGAAACTGCCGTTGACAGGAAACTCAGCTATACATGTGAATCCTAATTGCAAACACGCAGAATCTTGCTATAGCCACTAAACTGGATACTTTGTTTGCAATTTGTGAATGAATCATAATGAACAACTCCCTCCCATCACAACATAGAAACTGTTCTGTTTGTTTGTCTGACAGTCAAACCCAGTTCTGCTTGGAGGGCTCTTAAACAAAACACTTCAACAAAAACCTAGATTTTCAGGGAAGTTTTTTTAAATATCTTTATTTTATTTTATGTTGATATAAGCAATCCATTTTCCATTAAACAGTGTGTCATCTGGGTACAAATATTTTGTGCCAACAATTAAAATTTACAATCATTATTTAATCTATTCTTAGCTTAATTTCCAATTCCTTAAATGGCTGATACTATAACAATCCTCATGATTTATTTAACTATTAATTATATTAACTATTAATACATTGTATTTTACACATCTTCTTTTACTTTTAATTCTTATGTCTATTCTCTAACCATCGGCAAAATAATTCCCAAATTGTATAATAATCAGTATGTTCTTTCTCTTTGATAACCAGTGTTCTATTCATTTCTGCACATTCTAGTATTTTCCTAATCACATTCTCCTCTATAGGGATCTCTTTACTTTTCCAATTTTGTGCAAATACAATCCTAGCTGCTGTTATAACATGGACAATCAAATATACATTTTCTTTACTATGGTTTTCTGTAAAATCCCCAACAAAAATATTTCAGGTTTTAAGTCAATAGGTTGTTGTATCATCTTTTCCAGCCACGTACATATTTTAGTCCAATATTTTTTTTTGCCTCTATGCAAGTCCACTACATACAATAGTATGAGCCAGGTATCTGATGACATTTCCAACATTTAGCTGATTTGTCTTTAAACTTCTTCACCAGTCTAGCTGGTGTCCAGTGCCATCTGTAAAACATCTTATACAAATTCTCTTTATATGCAGTTGACATTGTTAATTTATAATTTCTATCCCATAATTTCTGCCATTTAGCTAATTCTATTGTATAACCACAGTTTTTTGCCCAAGCTATCATTGCTTCTTTCACTTATTCTTCTTCTAATTTAATACTCAATAAAGAGCTATACAAGTCTTTTATCATCCTCTCTTCTGTTCCTATTAGTGTCTTATCTAAGGGAAGTTAAGACCAAGATTTATCGTAATATGATGATAGTCAAAACAGCAAGGTTATGAGATTAAAAGTTTGAAGAGTTAGTTTCAGGTATTATTTTACAGCCCGCAAGCCTGACTTAAAGAGTTTTATAGCCTGATCTCTTAAGTCCCAGTAAGGTTCATGTGTAAGGATGCATCCCAACCAATAGCAGAGATTTGGCTCTTTTCTTTCAAGAACACTTCTCTTTCTGACTTCTAGATGGGGTGAACTTCTAGATAGGTTTCACCCTTTGATGCTGGTGCTCCTTATTAGGAGGGTAATTCAGATTGATTGATTGATTGGTTGGTTTAATTTGTATGCTGCCCACTCTCAAAGAGACTCAGGGCGGCTTACAGTAAAAAAGGGGGAGGGAAGGACATACAAAAACAAGACAACATTAAAAGATCACAACATTCACAACTGAGGGTGGGGCTGGACAACTTCAACAGCCCCAGGCCTGCCGGAATAGCCAGGTCTTGGTCGCTGTTGTAATTTGAGTGTTTACAAATACCTTAGGACATAATGTTGAGGTCTCTGAGACTCAAAGAGAAGGATTGCAGGAACACATATGATCTACAACTAGCCACAATGCACTAAGTCAGAGGTCTTCAAACTTGGCAACTTTAAGACTTGTGGACTTCAAATATCAGAATTCTCCAGCCAGCACTGCTTAATGCCTTAAAGCCAAATTTGAAGACCACTGCACTAAGCCCTCTCTCATTGAGCATTTGTTTCTTGTGATGGCCTTTGCACACTAATTGTGTGTGTGTGTGTATTCTGAAAATAAAAGCAACCAGAAGTCCAGGGTGTGAAAGAATTTGCACAAAGAGAGAAAGTTGGCACTGAGGATATTATTGTTTTCTTACTACTAAATAAATTGCTCCCAAATTGGACTTCGCCACTAAATAGCTGTATCAGAAATTTACCTTACCTAACAGTCCATCAATGCCAAATCTGCACTCTATTTACACCACCCAGCTAAGACAACCCTTCATGCATTTGAAGAAGTGGATTCTTCTAGTCCTCAGAAGTATCCTGCCGTTCTAACCTAGGCTTCCCCAGCAGCATGAAGCCGAGTCCTCGT